AGAAAGAAGTGAGTAATATACACATTACCATGGGACTGAAAATGCTGTAGGTGGACAGACATATTTTCCATCTTTGTAATATCTATCTTGCAGTACTTTTAATTCCATAGTCTCCAAATTAGAGGTGTAAGATTCTCTTTAGGATAAGCACCCAAAACACAAAGTTTAAGACTAGTTTCGAGTAGTAGCCCTACAAATAATTTTCTTGCTATAAAGTCACTTCTCTTTCCTTAATCTAAACAAATTGCCTCAAAGGCTAGACATGAAGCAATAACATCACATTAGAAAGCAAAAACATCAAGAAAATAGAACAGTACATTTACATGGGCATCATGCTAGCCAATGGAGACCTCAAGGAAGAAGTGACATCAATAAGAAAAAGATCCATAGCATTCATGAAACTCAACGAAGTATGGAAAGCAAATATATACAGTACTAGGACAAACCTCAGAAATTTCAATTCAAATAATCTTAGTATTAACATGTAGCTGAAAAACGGAAGATCTACCAAAAAATGAGACCGAAAACAAGACAACTTCAAAAATCAGCATCTATGAAAAATTCCAGACACTGGAGGGAAAGACCTGAACACCAACAAAGAGATCTGACAAATCACCAACCAGCAGCTCATCTCTACCAGAATCAGACGAAACCTCTAGACATTTTTGGAGCATATACAGCACATGTTATCATGCAGACTAGGGATTTTAAAAGGTGCATAATTAAGTAACCGTAACCACAGAAATTTTCAGCGGTTACACAGTTACACATAGGGTGGCAACCCCCAGGAGCTGGTGCAGCTTTTAAGCCACTGCCCTGGCGTACCAGCTCTCTTCTGGGGATTGATACCTCTATGTCAGAAGCAGCAGCACAGGGCAATAGGCGGTTCCTGGGTGCCAGTGTGCTCTGGGAGCTAGCTTTTAAGCCAGTTCCCCATACCTACTGGGAGACTGCATGTAACTGTAAACATTAACCAATGATCTCAAGCTCATTGGTTAACCATTTATATGGTTACCCTTCTACATTCCTAATGTAGACTCCCACATAAAGTTGCCAAGTGGAAACCAACCGGTGTAAAAAAGTGGGTACCCAAAAGAAATCTTAATGGGAACCCTTAGTAGAAAAGGCAGAAAAAGTGTTCTCCACACCATATGAAAGCAATAGCAAATGACCAGAAAATATGGAGCAAACTAGTGTCGTCTACCCTGTGCCAACTCTGGCACGGAAAGGATGTAATGTAATGTAAAAATAAATGTCCTAAAGAGGCAGCCGGAAGGCCATTAAAGATGGCTAGGAATAGAGTCATTCCTTAGGGTGCAGAGAATTGTGGCGACCACCACGGGCCCCATGCTTTGGAATCAAATCATAGCTATCGGTCTTTGCAGATAACAGTTGCTTCTAGTCACTAAAGAAATACTTGACTAGCTACCATCAGTTTTAAAGAGTGTTTCCTTTATCATGAAAGAAACCATGCCAAAATACTATTGGGAAAGTTATGAGTTCGGTGAAACCTTGTTCAAAATGATGTATGAACAAGTCCTCCATTTAAAATAGTTGAAGAGACAGTCAAGAGACCACACAGTAGAGTGTGCCCAGAAACTAGTAGCAGGTGGGCTGAGGAGTCACAGTGAAACTGGTGCAGGGCAGTGTGAAAACACACAAAAACTGAGAACAGACAAGAATTGGGAATGGGGGAAGGATGCAGGGAAAGCCAATCAGTAGCCTGTAAACACATGTGACCATGGACTGAAAAAGTGGTAAGGTCAGAAATGGCTTTTTTGTTGTTGTTCCCGATTCACAGTCACAAAATTGTGCACATTCTTCATAAATAAGCAAAACTGCATCCGAAAAATTCCTAATTATCACCTATTTCTACTCCCCAACAGAAGCAACAAACTAGACATTACATTTTTAGCAAGCAGCACAGGTCAAAAATGGGTAATTGGTGTTAGAGGTGGGATCCTGTTTCCAAACAGAGATTTTGAGCTGGTGGTATGGTATTCCTTTTGAACTAAGTAAGCTGCAACAGATAATGGAGGTTCTTGCAGAAATAAAAAATGGTCAGCAGAATTTAAAACAAGATCTCAAATAGCAGCAGGAGACTTCACAAAAGGAATCAAGACAAGACATAAATGAAGATCTGAAATTTTTCCCAGAAAGGGCTGAGAGTGAATTTGCAGGTTGAAACGAGGTTGCTGGTGGAGCTCGCACTAAAAAAAACTTGAACTGACTGGGAAACCCAGTGGCAACTCATGCAGACTAGAATGGTAAAATAGATTTATGAGGTGAACAACAATCTGACTAAGTTTTTCCATGGTACAATGGAACTCAAATAGGCTTTGGCAAATTTGGAACTTGCTTAGATTAGTTGCAGCATGGACTTGAATGGAAAATTCAGGTCCAGAAGGAAATCAAAGGATCACAGACCACAGTGTAATGTATTTGTTTGGATGAGGAAATGAGCCAGACAGGGGACTTGGGTAATACCAGACATTTACAACAATTTTCTGCTCCTTTTGTAACCCACAGATGCTCAGATGGGAGAAGTCGAATTGTCACAGCTCAAATAACAAAACAACTTCCTGGGAGGCAACAGCAACACACTGAGGGGCATTTGGAGTCACATGCCCCCCAAGATTTGCTGGTTAGCTTATATTCAGCATGGTCAATAACTCTGCTGAATCTGGCTGTCCTCACTCTGCCTCTTCATTATCAGCAGGCATAGGTTGTCCCTGCTGGGGGAGAGTCTGAGAGGAGGGACAGAAAGGGGGGTTACTAGCAACCAACTTGGATGGCCCAACTCTCATTATGCTACAGAACTTACTCACAGAAAAAGAGACTGCATTAGCCAGACCTGGCACAAGCTCTTGACATGTAATTTGGTGCTAGTCATCAATCTGAGTTGGCCACAGTACAGCTAAGAGCCTAGAGATAGATGTAGAACAGTGGTCAGCAACCTTTCGA